GCCCCCAAACCCCCTCTTAATTCCACCCCCAACCTCGCTTCGCTCGGTTAGGGCCTCGGTTGGCCAACTCAAGGCTTCAATCCAGCCTCAACCTCACTTCGTTCGGTTAAGGCCTCGGTTGGGGGAACTCAAGGCTTGGATCCATATAGATAGATAGATAGATAGATAACAACAAACATACGTGAATTATGACAACACCATGATACGAGGTCGTTTGACGCTTCCACCAACATGTCTTCGAGCAAACTTTTTGCTGATGATGAAGGAAAACAGGCCCGCTCATTCTCCGCGTAGCAGGGGGGGTGTGGACTTAACTATGTGCTCCACAACATGACGAGAAAAATTCAAACGACAGGGTAAAGAGGAGTAGCATATCATCCAAGACACTGATGGTGAAGTGGTTATCATGCTTGCCTTCCATAAAATCCCACTCGATCGAGGTAGCAAGCGGCAGGGGTTCGATTCCCCTTCAGTGTATACTTATTACATCTTTCGAGTTTTTTTCTCGTAACGCAAGGTGAAATACATTATATCAGTAACTCTTGACGAGGGTATGTTGTACATACACACATTCTAACTCTAATTTCTACACAAAGTGTTTGCTACGACATCCAAAGCCCGGTTCAAATCCGCCAGCAAATCTTCAACATCCTCAACACCGACACTGAGCCTGATCAGATTATCGCCAATACCAAGCACGCTCCTCTCCGCCTCGGGGACGCTGCCATGCGTCATCTTCGCGGGATGCTCAGCCAGGCTCTCGATACCGCCAAGGCTCTCTGCAAGTGTAAAAAGCTTCGTGGAAGTCAAGAACGTCTCGGCGGCCGCGAGGCCACCTCTAATTCTAAACGCGAGCATGCCGCCATACGGGACACCGTCCTTGGTGACCGTGGGAGAGAGTGAATCGATCCAACGGCGGGCGTGTGGGGAGAGGCTGGTGTTCGCGCGGGCGTGGCGGGGGTGGGCGGAGAGGCCGGGGTAGAGGACGTCGAGAACAATGTCTGCGCGTGCGTGGAGGGCCCGTGCGACGGCGAGGGCGTTGAGGCCGTGGGTCTTCATGCGGAGATGGAGGGTCTTGGCGCCGCGCTGGGCAAGCCAGCAGTCGTGTGGGCTTGGGACGGCGCCCGAGGCGTTCTGGAGGAACTTGAGGGATGTGTGGAGCGCAGTCCGATGCGGTGGGAGGATGACTGCGCCCATAAGGACGTCTGAGTGGCCGTTGATGTATTTTGTAAGGGAGTGGAGGACGATGTCGGCGCCGAGAAGGAGCGGGGAGGAGAAGTAGGGCGAGAGGAAGGTGTTGTCGACGAGGAGGAGGGGTGCGGACGGGTGCCTGTGAAGGAGGGAGGCGAGGCGGGGGATGTCTACAAGGCGGAAGGTCGGGTTTGTGGGCGATTCGACCCACACGAGCTGTGGCGCATGTGGCGTCAGATGAGTATAGACAGAGGGAAAAGTGACAGACCTTTGTGTTTGGACGGATGGCAGCGAGGATGGCTTCGTCGTCTGCGTTCTCGAGATCGAGAAATGTCGTCTCGAGGCCCTGAGTGGGTGCGGCGACCTTGGTCATGTAGCGGAAGGTGCCGCCGTAGACGTCGTTGACGCTGATTATGTGCGCATTGGCACCGAGGGACTGGAGGACCGCCGCGGTCGCCGCGGAGCCCGAGGCAAAGGCAAGTGCGTGTGCGCCGCCCGCCTCGAGGGATGCAAGTGTCTGCTCGAAGGCGTCGCGATTCGGATTGCCGGAGCGCGAGTATTCGAAGCCCTGGAGGACGTGAGAAGGGGCAAACAGGCACAAGCTGAAGCGCAAACCTTGTGCACACCAATCGCGTCCTGCTTGAACGTCGTACTAAGCGAGATGGGCGGGATCACGGCACCCGTCTCGCTGTTCGCCGATGAACCTACATGAATGGCCCGCGTCCCAAATCCGAGCGGCTTGCTATAGCTAGTGTGGCCATTCGAAAGCGACATCTTAATCCATGCTGGCAGAGAAGCGAATTATATATAAAGGAGACAGATGGCGAAATAATTGTTGAATGGATCACGTGTCCTCAAGTTCCGGTTGACTCAGCCGCTTGACCGGCAGGAACTCGCAAAGCTTAACCTAGATACGCCATGCTCTGGGATCTACGAAAAGTTTTTGGTAAAAGATCTGCGTTGCCCTCCAGGGTCAGAAGCGTTCGATGGCAAATATTCTTTATAACCTCGATTCTTGAAACTTGGCCATTTCGATAAGTCTCAGACAGAGTGGTTTGCCATTCAAGGATCACGGCATATGTCCGCTGTTCGGCCACCCTTAACCGAACCTCGAGGACAACAGTAAGCAGTTTGTCATCAACAACAGACATGAGTGGTACACTTGGGCGTCGACTATGATCTTCTACTTGTCCTTGTTTTGGTCCTGCTATCCTTGATCACTTCCTCCACAATCTCGGATCATCTGATCAAAGTTACGATGACTAGGGTGCAAATCTCAGGCTTGAGGTGCCTGTTATCCTCAAGTAACTTGCCGAGGCGATAGAGCGAAGTGCCTGAATCTTGGCCCGAATGATAGGAACACAAATATATAGTTTTACCTTTGTAAGTATCGCGTATCATGTGAGCAAATGTTGTTCGACATGAATGCAGCGCGCTGTCAATCATCGTATCGTACTAACTATACATGACATGTTCTTGAACTAGATAAAGTGCATTGTCAACGTCAGAAAACAATGGTTGATATAGTTCATACTATGCAGGACCGTGACGACACCTGTCAGCGCCGCGGGTGTATGTCATGGAGACATGTGGATACGTGTCTTCCAAAGGTACGTCTCATTTAAGAGCAAGTATGACACAGACTCCTAAAGGACATGTTACGAGAAAGTTTAGGCGAAATATGCATCCGTAAAATATTGCTTCAGCCGCCATAATTGAGTGTATAGTATCCACTGCTGAGGAAATGCAAAGTTAGTGGACAGGAAAATGCAAAGCAAGGTAACCAGCTGGCTTGTATCTGTTATTGCTACATATCCCTCTAATGCTGTATATAAGACCACATCATCCCCTGTTGTATAGGTCAAAGACTTGTTCATATGGCGAAATGTACCAAGAAAAGAAGTATTTTCCTTGAAGATAGACTTTGGCGTTTGGCGCATTGTCGCGCAGCAGGTCGAGCGATCTTTCAGAAGCCGTATTCATTCTCCCTGATATTCTCATAGATTGGCCCTGGAAACGCAGTATGAATCCGCACTCGGGTCCAGAGATGGAAGCAGAATCGCTAGAGTGGATCTAGAGTTTCACACCGACGCCCGATATGGAACGAGCATTGGAATTGGGCGGCGAGTTTAGTAAGTGGGTCTGCTCCAGAATTTGACTTCGTTCACTAATTTACATCTGCTACTCTCAAGTTTGGATACACTGTGCAATGACATTGGGTTCATACAAGATATCACAGTAAATGTTCCACATTATCCATTGTTCTCTATGCAGTCTTGGACCTAGACGGACACGAAAGGACAAAAGCCATGTAGGTTGCCATATAATATCACAGGGATATATCTTCAATGACATACATCCGGTACAAGCTGCGGTTTGTTCTGCGGTCCGTTCGGTAATGGACTATCAGCCCCTGTCCTTCCAAGAGCCTTGGACCCCCGATAAACTAAGTATGATTCACCTAATTCAACCACCGTAGCGGCATGACGCAAAATAGAAAAAATGTGATATGTACCACAACTGTGTATGGCACAGACCTCCTGGCATGGAAGGGAAATTTTAGGACGGATGCACCATCATTGTTTCGGCCTGCATTGAGTGTATGACTTTTACTGGACAGAGGTAATACTGATATATTAAGCAAACATACTTATGTGACTAGTTTGTATATTTGGCGTGTGTCCAAGTCCACATGCCATACAGACTGCTAGCTACCGTTCTAATACTCTTATCCATCATCAGCACCTCATGGCTGAAAACCTTATACACATGTCAGACTATATAAAGTCATATTTTCTTGAATAGCAAATGTACGTGTTCAAAAGCAGTCTTTCCTTAGATTCGAGCCAGTGCACCGTGGATTGGGATCAGCCAGCATTGTTCCGCAAGATGTCTAGCGACCTTCCAGAGACCGTATTCATTCTCCCCGATATTCTCGCGGAATGGCCGTGGAAACGTGTTATCAATCCCTACTCGAGTCCTCAGATGAGGGCAGAATCAATGGAATGGATTCGGAGTTTTGTATCTACACCCCAGATGAACCGACAATTTTGCCTTGGTGACTTTTGTAAGTTTCACATTCCGGACCTGCTAGAGAATGATCTTGTCGATTTGCTTTTGCTCGTTAGGCTTGCTCTGCTTTCTTGCATATCCTCTGGAGGATAAAGGTACCTTGCAACTCCTTTCGTACCAGCCTCATATTTGACTGTTTATCTGCTATGCAGACGTTCTTCGTGTGGCCTGTGATTTCGTGAATTGGATGTTTCTTCTTGATGAGCTGTCCGACTTCGCAACACCTCGCGAAGCCCAGAAAATGGGTGCTATAATCCTGGACACAGTATACAATCCTGACAAGACAAGGCCAAAGGACGAGTGTGTTCTTGGAGAGGCTCTTCGACAGTAAGTTCAGTCCTTGCTTCATGCAAAAACATATTATGATATTATTAATATTGATATAGAGTGTGGAAAGTGATATCAAAGCTTTCCTCGGTAGCTGCACGTGGTCGACTTATCAAGAGCCTTGAAGATTGTGCCACTGCTGTTGTACAACAAGCTCAAGATCGCGCTCTGGATTATATCAGAGACATTGACGAGTATCTGCCTGTTCGCCGCGAGACCAGTGGGGCCAATCTTGGATTTAGAATCATGGAATTTTCTTTGAATCTTCCAGATGGTTTCTTTGAAGATCCTGTCATTCGCAAACTCAACAATACCTGTATCGATCTGATCACTCTTAGTAATGTAAGCGTCGATAGCCTATTCCTTATACGTGACTCATTTCAGTTTTCGACAAGGACCTTTATTCTTATAATGTTGAGCAAGCTCGTGGTGATAAAGGCCACAACATCGTCACCATTTTGATGCAACATGAACATTTTACTCTGAATGAAGCAATTACTTGGCTTGGAACCCATGCATCCAAGCTTGTACATAGTTTCCTGAATGACCTGAGCCATGTTCCACATTTTGGTCCAGAATATCAAGCTGATGTGGAACGCTACTTGAATGGCATGGGTAACTGGGTCAGGGCAAGTGATTGTTGGAGTTTCGAGAGTGGTAGGTACTTCGGAACGGAGGGGCTAGAAATTCACAAGAGCCGAAAGGTTATCCTACTTCCTCAGCAGCGGTTAGTACCCTACAAATAGTATAGAAGAATTTTGATTCAACAGTTGTCCCTTGCTGTCATTGTGCTTTGTCACGGGTGTAATTTTCATCTATCTGTGATCCTGAAGTTTTAATATAATACTGTAAAATTACATTAATTCTTACGAGACATCAGAGTAAATGTTCCACTATGTCCATGAATGGAAAAAAGTGCGAAGGAGAATTACAGCAGACAGAGTACACTGAAGGGGAATCGAACCCCTGCCGCTTGCTACACACTGTTCGTGGAAGGCAAGCATGATAACCACTTCACCATCAGTGTAATATTAGAAACTATTGTCAAGACAATGTCCTAACGAGACTACTGAAAGAACTGCGGCTAACCATGTGGTGTCACGTGAGACGATACCGAGGAGGGGACAGAGTGGGAGATAGTATTAGATATCTCCCGCTACTTCGAGTCCTCTCTAGGTGAGCGCAACAAGATCTGCTACAAAGTACCTCACGCTAACTTCGAGTGGCACCAAAGCTTCATTCAAAGCGATCTTCAGGGTGTCAATTTAGGCAACCCACCCGGCACCGTCCACACCCTAAATTACATATTAGATTATGTAGCTGTAACAAAGGAGTGAATACATTTTAACCGAGCGTAGGAGACCGGCCATAGAACAACCCCCAAGTGCTCGGTATATTCACGGTAAAATCGCGCATGGCTTAAGTCATTGGCTACATAGCAATCATGAACTGCTTTCCTTCCATCACTCTTGAAATCAGGATAGAGTCCCTATGCCAGACCGAAGCCAGGGGCGTGAATCAGACGTTGAATATCGAACTTGAACCATGAAGAAGAAAAAGTATGCAAAATAAGTATATTGAACAACACCTTCGAGCGAATGTTCTTTCCCCCAATCGTCGTTCGCAACTACATATCCGCGAAAGGACATACAATATTTCATTACAAGGTTCCTAGTTATCCTGTCCACTACAACGCTGTCTTATGAACAGTAAACGTTATACATTGTGGAAGATGGCGTGGGCTTCAAGTTGACTGTGGGCTTGGAGTAGACGTTTCGAATTAAGCTCGCTCCAGGGACTTTTATGCAGAAATTGTGAGGACAACACAAAAAAGAACGACATTTGACCCAAGCCGTTTATAACTAATTCATCCAACTCGATCGTTTTCCTCCTTTCGTCACCGAAGATCACTACTCCCACCGAAAAAACGACCACCACCAACATGGATATCTGATCTAGATTCCGACGATTGTGCTGTACCCAGCAAGGAGGTCTGACGGAACTTGGAAATGTCCCTGCTTCTAGGCTTGTTGGTGTGCATCTATCTCCTTGTGAACTGATATTCACTTTGACGTCAACTACCGAACGTGTCGGCCCGCTTCGTGAGATAATGTGATAGTATTCCAAGTCTCGTCCATGGAAACATATCTAGACCTGAGAAAGATGAAACACTAACTGAAAAAACCTCCGTAAAATGGCTTTACATTCAATATACGAAACGAATGCAGATATCATAGGGTGATAGATATTCTGGCCTTCCAGCGATGATCACGGCACATGCGTCTGAGCATCTGGAACCTTTTAGATTTCATCTGGGAGCGATGAGAACTGGAGTGGTATGATTGATAGATGACAACATATCGGTCTGTACATGCCAACTCATCAGTGCAATCATAGCTACTTGGAGATAACTGGCTCGAACAAACATGCTTTGATGTCTTTCCTTAGTATGGGTCATCTCTTTGGAGTGCCGATTGCTATCTTGCTCCGGACGCCAGATCACAGGAACCATTGCTGTGAGCAGCAGCACATCAGATATGCCAGGAGACCGTTGATCTATTTCCTTCAAACTTCATCACGGCCTACATCGAATGGCAACATCCAGCCGTTTCTAGATCCAAGCCTGACGCTGACATACACTCAACTTTTAGCTGGTCTGGAGTCTCTATATCCACCTACTCTTCCATTCAGTCGACGCATCATGAACTCCCCGCCACTAGTTGTCGCATACCTCGGCCTCCGCCGCGCCGAAACCCGAGGAGATCGGCATGCCGCAGAATCTGTAAACGTGGCTCAGCATGGTCGGCGAGACCATGAAGAACGGAGTTCAATATGAAAGACCTGGGGCACAAGATCGGGACTCGGAAAAATCACTTTACAGGCTGCACGAGGGGGAGCGCTGGGCACACCACATTGTTGGCGGCATTTCAGACTATGGCCGGCAGAAGACGTGCACACAATAAAGGAAGAGGATTCCGGCCTCTTCCTACGAGACCTGGAACATTATCTCGTTAAGGGTGGATAAGACGAGGAGCTTGAAATCCTCCGTTGTGACTTAGGGGATCTACTTATAGAGCGTGATTCCGTGATGAGCTTGACGCCCGCGACTTCGACTTGCATTGAATGTGACGTTTCCTGTTGAAAAATGGCGAAAAGAAGTTGTACTTAGCTGGTTTTGCAAGGGTGGTCGGATAACTGGATTGAAACCGGCAATCACCGACAATATCTGTGGTGCATGTGGAATTTCCCGAATCGTCTCACTGCAACCTGGCCTGTGGTGGAAAACCTTTCCATTCTCAGTCCTGGAATTGGATAATCTCCGAGCTACTTTGATATGGCCTAACTGTGCAGACGGCGTGCTAAGCATAGAACAAGTTTCTCGTCTTCCACTACTTTCCATCAGCTTACAGTACACACACTCGAGGTGATAAGTAATCAAGCTCTATTCGTCACGTATACCACGAGCTGCTGCATATAGTCGGGAAAGGACAAAAAAGTCGAGCGACCATGATGGGAATAACGGAAGGCTTCCGATTAGGGATCTTTCTGGTTGTTTATGCGCATGGCTGTACCGGCCCCCGTCTCTTCCTTATTCTCAACGTCCCATCACGGCCTGACCGCTTGACCCCATGGTATATCCCTGCCTCCTGTCTGTACCATCAATGCTAGAAACATTTCCAGACGTGCCTAGTTTCAGGTCTATCCCGATGGCCAGTCATTTGCAGTGACACCTCGCAAAGGCAGAAGGCGAGAACAAGAGACAGTACCTCTTTTGCGTCGGCGGTCTCGGAATTTAGCCAAGTGTGAATTTGATCGGGTACAGGAAGCCGTAACATACTGCTCTCAACTACAAGCATCCGAATTCTATCGTTTACATGCATTGATCTTGGTGGCTTCACTACTTTCCTTGTAACGGTGACGCTTTCAGGAGAGATTCAGTGTGCAAAGTGAATACTCACGCGTCTCTGACTACCGGAGTGACTCCTCACTGACTACAATTTAGATGATGCGTGTCAGAGCACTCTGTCTTCTTGATCCTGCCGAATGGATTGGAACTCGTTGTAAATCTTCAGAACACCACTACTGACTTAAAATGTTGTTAGTTTCTCGAGCATCGGCGCGACTTGAAGCCATTCTCTATGTGAATTCTTTTCTTTAATACCATGCTCCATGGGAATTTTCTAACCTAATAAAGATACCCTATCCACTGCTATGGTCAATGTGAGACCTAACTTTGACCCGTGACTACTCAAATCAACCGACAACTTGGGAATTGTCGAATAGCTGGTGACTAGCTGATGACCGGTGAAACATAGTCTCAGGTACCTCGAAGTTCTGTATTTTACTGCATTTGTTACTCATGATCACTGGGGGACCACGTTGATCTGGAATACATGTGCACCTGTTACCCGAGGTCATGCTATATAGAACGTGGTTTCGGTGACAGTACGGTCCAGGTACAAAAGCTGAGTGACTGTCCGCAGAACTTTGACAACTTTGACTTGAGGATTCTGTGATGGCTGGGCAGGTCTACTGCTCGGCTCGGCGCGATCTACATTACAACCGGAAAATATGGAGGGTAGGATTGTTGTGTTATTGCCGGAGTCTTCGTTTGGAGTCTTCGTGTATAAAGGCGATACATCGCAAGCCATGATGTTCATCATCAACTCCACCTTTCTACTAACTTGTTCAATGAAGGTCTTTCAGTTTCTCCACGAAAATGGCCAGGCGTTGCGAGTTGTCAACGACTGCGGGGAGTTGAAGCGTGAGGCTGATCGTGATATATAAGAGTAAAGGATCTACTGATGCGTCTCGTCTCTCAGTTATTCTCGACAACAACACGAATTCGAGCAGCCAAAATGTATACCTGTTTGCTCTTCTTTTCATACAAAAGTCTGAAGTGTCATTTCCTGTGTCAATAAGTGGCGGGTTATACAGGATGGCAGGGACTACCAGATTGTGAACGTCGCCTTTCACCAGTGCCTTGGGTTGTCTATGATTACGTCTGGAGCGTTTCAAGGAGAAATCATCTTTACAGGTGGATTTCCGAAGCCCTGGAGCATCTCGGAGAACGGCGATGGCACATACATGTACGAGTTTTTCTTCTGCAAATTCTTCATTTTTTTTTTGAATCGACTTGGGTGATGAAGGATAAGCTCCGATGGTCTCGTGCTCACTAGCAAGGGGGAAAAGGTCGGGGCTGAATACGGAAGCAAGAGCAAGTGGAAGAAGTTACAAGGTATGTTCATGCCTGTCTGTCACCGTCCAAAGCTAACCATATGCTCCAGTCAGCGAGTACTAGTTGGAATTAAGTCTTGAGAGTATAATAAGTGATTAATTGAAATATGATAAATCTTCGATAGGATTTGCTAAACAGGATCGAGTGTTTTCCTCCTGTGATGTACATGATGTCTACAAATCAGTGTGAGCGCTGGAGTCAGCTATAAGTTTGATGGAACAGGAGACAGAATTTCTTTTTCGAGCGCCCGTGGGTCTCATACACCCTCAGAAGGCTGTCGACGGTAAGTTTGTATTACTCATTTTCCTCAAGAATTAGATACATTTATGAAAGGACTCACAGATTGCTAAGTGAGGTCCGTAGCCTTCCTCAATAGCACAGAACCAAACCACCTTGACGAAACCAAAATAACTCAATCCTTCCATGCACCTACCTCAAGGCATATATCGCCTTGCCTTTACGTAACTAAAATTCTTCGAAATGGACGCATCTGGATGGACCAAGCGTACCACAACTCTGACATGGTATCCTCTCATGATGCGCACAGTTCTGCACCCCCAGGATACTCCGTGGAAATTTCGCCTATACAGTCTTTTGAGACTCGTGTCAGCGTTTCAAATGACGACATGGTATCAGCACGATCTCTCCCATTCGCCTCGCCACCTAGGGCATCGGATGCGAGCGACACACCCCGACGTTCAGATGTTCACTTTCACAATAGTGTACCAGAACAGACCAACATGCCCCGCAGACGCCTTACCTCCCTACCTTGCAGTGACTCGGCCACG